CTAATGAAAGAGCTAAGTAGATAAAGAAGCTGCATGAGGGTGTTAAAGCAACCATTGAGAAACAAAATGAGAAGTACATGCAAGCTACCAACAAACACATGAATCATGTGGAGTTTAATGCAGGTGATTTAGTCTGGATTCATCTAAGGAATGAGAGGTTTCCATCGGGAAAATTTGAAAAATTAAAACCAAAGGTAGATAGTCCATTCAGGGTGCTTAAGAGAATTGGTAAAAATACTTATGAGATCGAGTTACCTGAAGATTACGGAGTATCCCTAACATTTAATGTGGCTGATTTAAATCCTTTTTATAATCATATTTATGAAACAAACAAGGACTTAAAGATAAGTCTTTTTCAACCAAGGGAGATTGACACGAGAGTGCCTAATTTGCTATAATATGCTCATATAGACCTTGTTGATTTTATGATATTGTTTTCAGCCCACAATGTTGACTCATAGTTTTCAACTCAGCCCCACTCAAATATGATAGCTCATTAGCACATTCCTTAGATAAAGTTATAGTTGTTTCAAGGTACTTTTCTTCATGACTAAAGAATGCATTAAAGAAGTTGGTTACCAGTTGTAAAACACTTAATTTCGAAATTCCTTATGCATGAAGAGTTGCTTCATGCACTAGTACATATTTGGTTGTTTAGGGCTTAGAAAAAACTTTAGAAACCGATGATATTTTGGCAGAAGCTCTCTTAGAGTTCTTTCTTAAACTTTATATCTCTTGGATGCTTCATTGAGTGGTGAGTCTTTTATTTTCAGTTTTATATCCTTATTTAATTTTCTTGGGGTGGTGAACTTTCTGTATTCCTTTGTGATATTAAACTTGGTGGTGAGCTATTTTTCTATCTTATTGAAGTATTATCGTGAGTTCATGCATTTTCTATCCGAAAAATTATATCATCGGTTTTCTTTCGAAATCTATTCTATTTTACCCCCCCATTCTGCATCACACTGGTATCACTTGACCCCCAAAAGAACTGCTTTAGCTGAAGCTATAACCGACCAAGTAAAACTATTGATACCCTAACTGATCTTTGGGGCTCATAGTGACGTTCCTCGCATAATAAACTCAATTAGGTACTCATGCATAGAAATAAAGAAAATTAGAAGTACAATTCTGCATGACGAATGCTGGAAAGTTTGCTTCTCTTTTTCAACTTTCCATGATAGGAAGGATATATCTTCAAAATTTTGATGTCTAGTTGATGCTCATATGTAATATCTATAAGTATAAAAAAATATAATGTATTTCTGTTATATAAAAAATTTTAATATCAAAATCATTAAAATCAAATAACAATATATCAAATATTTTTATATGTTATAAAATAGCTATCGCTTTAAATTTTTTTATGAAGATATTTATCTTTAGATGCCATCAGATTTACGATGGGTATCTTTAGATGTCATCCAAAAAAACCTTTATATGATCTGTAGAGATATCATCCTCAAATCCGAAGTCAATAGTGATATCGATATGCAAGGAGAACTAGACTCGTTTTCTCTTCTTGATTGATGGATTAGAGAATAGAGGTATTCATGTATTCTATCTACTTATCTATGTATTCGCGTATCTCTATATTGTGTATTTAGTTCCTAAAAGTTCCTATCTATAAAGAGTAGGGGATAAGTAGGAGAATATCTCCCATCAAGATTATCTTCTAAATAATTATACTATAATTGATTTTTTTCTATTGATTAATAATCATAATCAGAATCCAATCATATATATAATATATCTTATCTAGTTAGATATAATCACATAATTTATTTATTTTTGTTTAATGAAGCATTTTCAATCTTAAATTATTTTATTCTAACGTTTCAATATCTTTTAAAGAATCAGTTATTCGGTTCCTTATGGTATCATAGGATTATTTTCCATGCCAAATTCTTAGCCTGATTTGAAAGCTCTCTTAGAAGCCAAAAACACTATTCAAAAGTCAGTATTTGCTGATTAAGCTCTTTACCACTAATTGTTGTGTTAATCTTTAAGATCATTAATGCCTTCATGCGATAAGTGATTATTCCACCTTTTTAATGCTCGTGCACAATGGATCTGTGTCATATTTAGAGTTGATTTTTCGGCTAAATCGATATTACTCTAGATCGATATTAATGATTATTCTGGTTTTTGCTGCATAAAGCTTCATATGAAATTGTTCTCTCGATCAACACTATATGCATTTCTAATTCTAATTGTTTAGTTTAGCTAAAGTATGCATTTAAAGAACTGCAATTACGCTTAACCATGCAATCCTAATAATGTTTTTGGTTTTCTGTTCTAAAGCAGACTTGTTATCAGGAATACTTGAAGCTGAAAACGCATGTCGGGTATCTGCAACATTCTCAGAAGTAGTCTTCGAAACTCTCCATCTTGATGAAGATTATATATATATATATATATATATGCTTTGCTGAATTATAAGTTCATTATTGTCATATCAACATGGAGCAAATGTTCATTAATGATATGCTAATCATGTCACTGAAGGAACCTCCTTGGTGAAGATTTAGATACCCTAAACATTAAGGAGCTTGATCAACTTGACGATCAAATAGAGATGTCTCTAAGGCTCATCAGATCAACAAAGGTACTCAACAAGTAAATATGAAGCAATCAATCCAAAATCACTTATGTATTGTGGTGTTGCAAAAAAGATTGCATTATGAGTTCATTATCATGACAAGTACACCACATGATGATGTTGTAAGAGTCGCAATATCCGAGAAATAATAGAAGGTCATCTGTCATTGTTCAGAATCTAACACTTGTAATAGAGTTTTAAATGTCATTTTCTTCTTCTATCGCGAGTTTTCATGCTTGTGATATAAAATGGTCTTCAAATAATGTAAAAGAAATATTATGCAGCTTAAAAGTTAAGAGGATATCATTAACATATGCTTATTAATGCTTCTGTCTATACTTTCAGACCCAAGTAATTATCGACCAATTAACGGGTCTTAAACGTGAGGTAATTTTCTCCGGACAGTATTATGGATGGATTGGTATAGATTTGCATGATCAGTTATGTATGTTTTTGGTTTAAACAATTTATCTTTGTGCAGGAACAAATGTTGCTGGAATCTAATAAAACCTTAAGAAGGAAGGTAAGGCAAAAGGTTCCTGATAATGGACCTTTCTGTTTTTAGTCAAAATTAATGATTTTGGCCAATATTTAATATTGAAATCTTTGATGTAACAATATATTCATCATCCAATCCTCCACTTCTGTTTAATGTCATCTAAAACATGCTCTAATGGATGACACTTACTACTTTTTGATTGTTCTGTCATTTCTCCAAATTTCAATCAAAGGATGCCTCTTTTTATTTTTAGCACAATAATCATCTTTTATCAGAAATGACAACCATGGTTACTGTACTGATCCTTTCTTTTTTTTGGTTTCTTAATCATAGTTGCAAGAAGTTGATGCAGAGAATTCGATCCGACTTCCGTCGCAGATTCGTGCCAGTAACTGTATCGATGAGCCTCCTCAGCCAGAAAAGTTCTTTGAGCCTCTGGTGTGCCACCCTTCACTGCAAATTGGGTAATGCTCACTCTTGAAATAACTTGGTGAATCTACACAATCTATTAAACAAGATTGTGGTTTCAAAGCTTCCCTTGTGATCTTGCATTGCAGATTAAGTCAAGCTTCTACTGATCCATCTGGTGGAGGAACCATGTCACTGAATGTCAATGGTTTCGATGCAGCATGGATCTGAAAACCCACATCTTCAATGCTACTTCATGGACTGTTTTATGTGCAGATACATTCTTTGTCATGGTTTATCAGTCCTAATTACCTGTCTTCTCCAATCTTCTGCTCTGATCTCAAAGAACTAAGAGGACAACAAAATTATCCTTCTGTGAGTGTGTTATGCTGAAACAACAATTTGTATCACTAGCTTATTGGCATATACAATTGAATAATTGTAGCATGAAGGCTACTAAGGTTTCTATATAATTTTTGCTGCTGCATTTCGTGATGGATGCATTAGCAGAAGCTTAAGCAGAAAAACAAGATGTGATTCAACACTGTGACAACAAGTCCATGATCTTAGCATGCTTTCTTCAGCTTTTAAGGGTTTCCACTTTTTGACATCAAACTTTGATGCAACTCTGCAATTGTGTTGTTGTCTGTCATATCTCCCTTACTTGCAAAGATTACTTCGATGCAAGTTGGATTAGGTTTTGCTCTATCAATTTTTGTGGAAAACAGTTATTATAAAGTTTAAATTAAGTTGTCATTTTAATCCTAATCATTGCAAAGTCTGATGCTGTCCAAGTTTAATATTTTAATCCTAATAATATGGAGAATCCTAATCATTAATAGTTCTAAAAACTATTAATATTTACTAGAACAGAAAATAAAGGAAAAATAGAGGATTCTCCATATTATGATTGAATAAGATATCACATTTGTGGTTTCTACCAAGCATCTTGATATTGTTCACTGTGTCATGTCAATTATTGTACATAACAATCAAGATGAAAGAAACTAGCTGATGGAATATCTTATTTTTGGCAGTGTATTCCCATTCTCACAAATCTTAACTTAGTTAAATGTGAAAATAATGGACAATTATTCTTGGAAGTTCTTCATCTCACAAACAGTCTTTTTTCCTCCATTTTTTTATTTATCTCTTCGAGTTTCTCAGCTAAAACAAAAAAAATGCAGCAGTAGACCTTCTCTTGTCAACACCAAAATGTTGTCAGATCACATGCCACCAGACGACAACATCGAACATAAAAATGTTGTAGTACATCAGTGTCCATAATCATGAGGTTGAATGCTCGCATCTTTCGGACATGTGAAAGATTTGAATGGGGTGGATTCGTGCAGGATCCTGCATTGAAGTTTCTCCGTCCCCCAGTAACTCTGTCGGTTCCTCCTCTTAGATCCTCGTTCCTTAATCCAACGCCTCTGTCTCTACTCTGTTCTGCTGCTGAACTCTAAACCAGGATGCTCATGATTCATGTCAGGCTTAAGCGTGCATTTACCCAACACTTTGATGGCATCCATGCCGAAGTATATGTAGGACATGAGGAGGAAAGTAGAGTGAGAGTCCTCCTCCTCAGCCTTGCAGCAAAGGATCATCTCGGATCAATGGGGAGGACCAGCACGAGACTAACGGGATTCTGTTTGAGCAGTGTCGCCACTCGCGTCAAGCTCCCGTCCCCGCCGCCGATCAAATCGAAGCCTCTCTACCGTGAGAAGCTGATGTTGGGTGGAGCTAAGGAAGCGACGGAGGGCGGTCGGAGGATCATGGTCGTCGTCGACCGGAGCCCCGAGGCCAAGGCTGCTCTGCAATGGGCGCTGTCGCACTCGGTCCGTAGCGACGACACCGTCGTCCTGGTTCAGACCGTGAGGCCTTCCTGTAAGCATGGTAAAGGTTCGGAAATGGCGGTTCTTGCTTGCTTCAGCAACGAATGCGTTCCGGAGGCGGACGCAATTGAGTCTTGTTGTTTCTTGGGCAGGTGAGAGATTGCGGAGGGAGAGAGATCCAAAAGGCTTGGAGCTCCTGCATGCCATGAAGAGCATTTGCCGAGCGAACAAACCTGAGGTAAGATGCGAAGACGAGAAGGAATCATAACATCATCTCCGGCATGATGCATGGAACCACATGTTCTCTCAGGTGCAGGTTGAGATGGCGGTGGTGGAAGGGGAAGAACGAGGGCCGGCGATCCTGGAAGAGGCGAGGAAGCAGGGCGCCTCCCTGCTCGTCATGGGGCAGAAGCACAGCTCCATGGCGTGGCGATTGATCACGGCGTGGGCAGGCAACAAGGCCGGCGGAGGCGACACCGTCGACTACTGCGTTCGGAACGCCGCTTGCATGGCTGCCGCCGTGAGGAGGAAGAGCAGCAGAGGCGGCGGCTACTTGATCACCACCAAGCGGCACAAGGACTTCTGGCTTTTAGCTTAAGCTTCTTCGTCTGCGTTCGAGGTCTGTGTATGATACGCTCGTTGCCGTCCTCCATCACCATTGCTGCTGTACGATACACAGTCTTACATTGGTTCTCTGCTACCAAAGTGTACCAAAGCTGCATTGCGCACCATTGCAGTGACATCATCATAGCTGCCATCAGTTGCTCTGCCTAAGGGACGTGACACGTAGATAATTCGATAGCACGTCATATTGATACTTCACTTAACTTTAGTTATTTCTCGATGCTCCTATAAAAAGTTTTGAACTCCTTATTGTAATGATTCACGAGTCAAAATTTGCACTAATAACATCGTATAAATTCATGGATAACTCCATCATTTAAATTATCAATGAATCAAAAAGAAATTATATTGAAAACAAGAATGGATCAATTTTGGTAATGTCACTTAAAACCATATCTAGGAATGAGATCTGATCAAGCGAGTGGCACGAATCACAAGGAATCGAATACGAGTGTTCCCACTCATCAAATATGCAAATAATTTATGGTGGATGTGACGTATTTATTGACGTAAAGGTGAGGTTGGCATGATCTCAACGACGGCGTTTAGTTTAAGACTCGAGAGAAAAAGACTAAGATATCATGTGATTGGACGGACTCTCTTCACAAGCCAACAAAAGATCACATCATGCGCCAACATCTTCAATTGTGAAACATCAAGAGTCGACGATGGTGATCTCCCAAAAAATGACAATGCATTAGGTTTAAGGTCATCTTCCTTCCCTTCCACTATTGCATTCTCTCTCTCTCTCTCTCTCTCTCTCTCTCGCTCTCTCTAGATAAATGAAGCATCATAGGATCTCGCTAGTAGCACCTCTTCCAACCAGTGCAAAATGCAACCATGGCTCTGACATATTAAAACCCTTATAAATTACTCAAATCAAGCCTCGTTGGATCACCGGATCACTAGTGGAATGGTGAGGTCAATCGAACTTTAATCGTAATTTGGATGGATTGATTTATCAGATTTGATCGTAATAACTATGATCTAATATCAATCATATGAAAGTATGACTTCTTACCAAGAAAAAAGAATTGGAGTAGTTGCTTGTAATTCCCAATCAAATTTGGACGGAGGAGTCCACACGTTTAGGTAACAATCAAATCGTATTTAACCCACAAATGTCTCGAGTAAGAACACATGGAGAACCTCTCCAAGTGCAACATCTTTCAACCCTTGAAGTGACCTAATCTTGGATCTTACCACATTTGGTGTCAAAGTAACCTCAAGAGGAGCAAAATTTTCTATGATTAGTCTCTCACATGGTGACACTTGACATAACATGTGTTTCCACCATGTCATTCTCAAACAAAATTTCACATATTCTTTGCTACAAAATTTTATCTATCACTCATTCTAAATTAGGATAATTAACATTAGTTCCCTCTAGAAATTTGACTGCTTGAAAGAACTATCAAGATAAGCTTACTCTTATCACTAAGCTCAAGCTCGTCTCCTTCAAATTAAATCGTTTACGAGCATATTTCTTTTTGGTAATGTTTATTTTGATTGTCTCGATCCAACGCTTCAACCTCTTATGTGAGGTAAATCTCCTAACTAGGATATGGATATCCCGCTTGTAAAATAAATACCAGTCATATGTCACTTAATTTAGTTTACAATAATAATACAAAAAAATATATATATAGCTAAGATCGATATAGATCACCTCATATTTTTATGGTTCTTATTTATAAGAAAATATATTTAATTATGAGGTAGTTAATTGTGTGATTCACCAAATATATATTTTTCACGAAATCATGAGATAATAATATCATCATCGGTTGTTGATGGGATCGTTCACATGGATGATTGATGGGATCGTTGACATTGATGTAATCACGATGGCAATACAAATTGATGATGCAGGGAATAAAAGTTTGGTTGGTGATGGGATTGTTGACACAGATGTAATATAATGACGATACAAAATGATACATCCAATAAAAGTATATGTGAATTTATGTACATTATTCTTACAACCAAATATTGATTAATAATATAATATTTTAATAATAATAATAATAATAATAATAATAATAATAATAATGCTACTAAATATCATGAGACTTTTCTTTTTAAAATTTGATTCATGATGCATTAACTTGATCTAGTTTGACTCAGAATGTGTATTATATGTCATGTACTGAAAAACACATTTTATATTTTTAATATATAATTGGAGAAAGGATTTCCAGTGGATTTGCAAGTGTGGAATACTTCAAATGTTTGGTAAATAGTATATGAAACTTCAAATTATATCAACATCCTACAAATAAATATTGAAATGCTAATGTCCTGTGGTAGCATCAGTATTTAAGTATTTTCATAATATTTTGATCAAATATGATTTAAAAAAATTAAATATCAATTCACATTCCAAATGTTCATTGTTTTCTCAATGTAAATGTTTTATTCTAATTAAACCAAAAAGTATATATATATATATACATATACAAATACATATATATACATATATATATACACATATATATATATACATATATACATATAAATATACATATATACATATACATACATACATGCATATATATATATGTATATATATATATATATATATATATACGCATCAGCGGACTACACGTATCACTTCCTCTGTGCCCGCCCGCTCTCATCACCAGTATCCTCCGACTTCCCTCTCTGTTGATTCCAAGGATCGTGGATTGGCGATCTGGTTTGAATCTGTGCGCCCGTGAGATCTGATTCGAGGGCCGAGTTTGATCGGCGTAAAGCGGGAGTTTATTTTGCTCTCTTGTTCCTGTTGTTGTGTTGTTTGGATCGCGCGGACATGCGGCGGAGGGCGGCCGAGTTCCGGCGCCCGGCCAGAAGGCGGCTCTCCTACTGGATCTGCTTCCTCCTCGGCGTCTTTGTCGCCGCGGGGTTCGTCCTCTTCGTCTTTCAACACCATCATCAAGATCGGCTCGAGCCGCCCGTGAGGGTATGCCCTGTTTTGTTCTTCTTCTTTAAGCTTCTTGTGCTGGATCAACCTAATGTTCAGATTACATGATCTGATACCGTCACTCACAGGATTGATGAGAAGAACAACATAATCGTATATTTGATTGCTTCGTGTACTTTACTTCTTTCTCTTTTTTCAGGACTATTCAATATTGTAGATCATGTGTGGCGGACTTGATATCTGCCCTAATGTGACTTGGTCTCTAGAAATTTTGGGCCATTCTCCTGCAGAATACCTGCTCATAGAGTCAATAATTTGTGAATAGTTCCTGGAAGCCACTTTCATTGGATGAGTCTTGATGAGAACTCATTGACTTATTAAGTGGAAGGATCTTGTCTCGGGGATTAGGTAGAATGTCCTTGTACTAGGATGTAACATCAATTGCTTTAGAGTTCTACTTTTTCCTGTTTTTCCAATGGGGCTACATCTTACATATGAAAGTGCTGACTCGACATGTGCTATTTATAGAACCAAAAAAATAAGAAGCTCTGGAATTTTGTTGTCTTAGTAAAATAGGTTTTATTTTTCCAATTAAATAGAGACAGGTGTAACATGGTGACCGGGAGATAGTTCTCTTCATGCAAACCAAGTTGATAAGGATCTTTACATGTTGATTCAATTTCCTGAAGTTAAAGAGGTTTAAGTTGACTCTATAATGTGATCATCCATCCATCAGATTAATTAAATCATTGTTTTGCAACTTCAACAACTTAGTTCATTATGGCCTATTGCTGTAGAAATTAGAATTTAATAATCGAAACTGCTGTGTGTAAAATTTTGTACTAATATGTGAATTGGGTTCTACAATTAAAAAGCCTAGTTTACTGAGTAAACCCAATATTATAGTATCTATTTGCTTGTAGAAATTTTCTGTTATGCATATTTGTTCATTTTATTCTTCTTAACTGAAAAAAGGGCAGCCAATTGCACAAGTCCCTGCCCTGCCCTGCCAATGATGGGTCTAGAGTGGCTCAATCTGCATTGTTTTATCACCCAGGCTGCACGATAGCAACCATACAGTGGATGAGTTTTCTTTTTTTTTTGTAAACTATTTCTCTGAAATGCAATGTCCTAAATGATGTTTCACTATGTAACTTATAATTTTAATTCAAGTGTTCTTAATAGTGTGAACAATATACTAGGGATCTTTGTTTTACATGTTGGTGTGCAATAATCCTTGTGCGTGCATGATGCGAGTTTGTGGTAAATTTCATCTTTTGTCCATATGATGTTCCTTTTGTGGGCTTCTCACGGTTCTTTTGTGTTCTTCACTCCCAGGACAAGGTTCCAGCTGATAAGGAAATCCCTCATGAAACACAAAACCTTGGCCAGGAACTGTTAAATACTACTTCCTTTGCCAGACAACTTGCTGACCAGATGACACTAGCCAAGGCATATGTAATCATAGCCAAGGAGCATAACAACCTTCGGCTTGCTTGGGAGCTCAGCTCGCAGGTAAGGAATGGTCAACGGTTGCTCTCTCGAGCAGCTGTCAGAGGTAAACGAATCACTCTAGAAGAAGCACATCCGATAGTCAGTCGACTAGCACATCTTATATATAAGGCCCAAGATTCCAATTATGATATCAGCACAATGATAACAACACTGAAGAGCCACTCCCTTGCTCTTGAGGAGCGTGCAAATGCAGCAACTGTGCAGAGTGCAGAGTTTGGTAAATTAGCTGCAGAAGCCATGCCCAAAAGTCTCCACTGTTTAAACATAAAACTCACAGAGGAGTGGTTTAGAAATCCATCTTATAGACAACTATCAGAAGAGGGAAGGAACTTGCCTCTACTTGTTGACAATAATCTATACCATTTGTGTATATTCTCTGATAATGTACTGGCAACTTCTGTTGTCGTGAATTCCACAGCCTCTAATGCTGATTATCCACAGCAGCTTGTGTTTCATGTGGTCACAGACAGTATCAATTACCAAGCTATGACTACTTGGTTTCTCAGGAACGAATTCAGAGGATGTACAGTCGAAGTTCTAAGCATTGAAGACCTAGTTTGGTTGAATGCCTCTTTCTCTCCAATGGTCAAAAGAATAATGAGTGCTGAAACCCAGGCTTCTTACTTTGCTGGTAATTCAAAAGATCAGAGTAGGGAAACAAAGTTGAAGGACCCTAATTATGCTTCTTTGTTGAATCACTTGCGCTTCTACATCCCACAGATACAGCCACAGTTGGAAAAGGTGGTGTTTCTTGATGATGATGTGGTGGTACAGAAGGATTTAACCCCTTTGTTCTCAGTGGATTTGCACGGGAATGTTATTGGAGCTGTGGAGACTTGTCTAGAAGCATTCCATAGGTTCTACAGGTATCTCAATTTCTCCAATCCAATCATTAGCTCAAAATTTGATCCACAAGCATGCGGATGGGCTTTTGGGATGAACATCTTTGACCTCGTAGCATGGAAGAAGGCAAATGTTACTGACAAGTATCACTACTGGCAGGAGCAGAATGCCGACCGGATGCTCTGGAAGACAGGGACTCTTGCTCCTGGCCTTCTGGCATTCTATGGGCTGATGGAACCCCTTGATCGAAGATGGCACATACTCGGATTGGGTTATGACTCCAGTGTCGATGATAGGTTGATTGAGAGTGCGGCTGTGGTGCACTTCAATGGGAACATGAAGCCGTGGCATAAATTAGCTATAAGCAAGTATAAGCATTTATGGGAACAATACGTCAATTTATCTGATCCAATTATTAAAGATTGCATAATGCACTGAGATGTGGATAATTGCCTGTTCTCTTTTTGTGTCCTCTGTCAAAATATTTTTGACATGCATCTCACAAAATGGTACCTTTGAGGGAGAAGGCCAGACGGTAGGCAGCATCACCGGGCATCATGTATTTGGGGGAATTCAACAATTCATTCTGGAAGATGTAATAATTCCATATTAGATGTTATATTTTGTTGGAATTCAAAATTTGGAAATGAAACCAGATAACCTTGAAAGTGATTGTAAAACTCAGGAAATAACATTCGGTTTCTGCCATTGCCTCTCCAGATGTCTCAGGTGCCTGAAGTTCATATGGAGTTTTGACTGCACAAGCACTTACATCGGACTGCAGACTTTCAGCATGTCACTCCAAATATAAGATGAAAGTTTGAGGTCAGGCATCAGTTGTCTGAATCATGCTATTCTTTTTCAGGATTAATTTCTTTAGACAGATATTGATTTTACTAATTAAGTAGCTCATTTTCCAATGTTTGGAGCTTGTAAAATGATGGAGGCTATTTTTCTTTTAAAGTGTTATATATATATGATAAGCTTGTAAATGATGGAAATGGTCATTTTTTTATGTTTAAATTTTTTTTACAACAGATTTTTTATTTATAGATTCTTAAGCATCCATGTTATATGATTGTCCAAGAAAAGAGAAGGGAGTGATGGAAAAACATGCATCTGTCGGATTACTCGGATATGTATCAAAACATTGGATCAGCTTTTATGGGTTTCACTTGCAGAAAAGTGGATACAGGTAGCTTATATCAGCTTCTACAGGTCACCTACAGAATTGCTACGCTGTTTTTGCTAACAGGTACTGGTAACCTACTTCATCTATTTGTGTCTACTTTTCTACAACAGCAAGACATGGTTCAAGTAGTACTTGTTTGATGGCTTTGACTCTTGATAATCTTAGGTTTCCAACAGAATATGATCATCAAATGCTGCTGCAAACCTTCTTTATTTTCAGTACTGCCACCATCATCCATGAGAGAGGTCAGCATCTAAATTGAAATAACTTTACATGATAGCTAGATGATCAGTATTTATGGCAAGCAGAGGTGCTTGTAACATTGGTTTTGTAGCTCTTACCTCCTCCTGGTCTCTGTTATGCAAGTATCTATTGAAAGAAGGGTGATAAACATTCCAAATTTAACCTAGCATGTGTTTTTTCAGCTTATATTGTGCAAATAGGACCAAGCGAGAATAGTTTGTCTGCAATGACCTACACTTCATCGAGGTATTTTCTAATCAGTCCTTTTTTCACTCTTTTGTGATGAAGTGGCTTCTCATACTTGTTTTTTCATGATGCTGGTTATCGGTTGGAATAGGTGGTACTTAAGGTACAAGATACTGATGTTCCTATAATCAATCAATCAATTACATGATGCAGCACATGGTGCAGATGAAGCTCCTCACCACAAGTACTTTTCGCAACTGATTCTATCTGCATCTAACATTCTGTAATAGTTTTTTTTTCTTGTGTTGTGCTTGATTAGAATCTTAAAGTAGTAGTGCATCCAAAGCCTTCCTATCAGTGCCTTTTCCTACTTTTTGATGTTTTTGGAATTCATATAGGTAATCAATCCTATGATTACCTCCACTCATGCTAACATAATAGATAAAAGGAAACCTGTGCTTCGAGACAAAAGCTGATTGTGTATTTTGTTAGAACAAGCTTGTTCTGACTACTTAACTTCCGGATATTAATGTAGGACGGTGATCACTTGGCTCTTTCAGAGAATTCAGTCAGCTCAGTGCATGTTATCGTCTCAGGTTTCCAGGAGACGAGCATCCACGTGAGCTTTATCCTTCAGACAATCAATCTGCCCCAGTTATGGTGGAACATGGGCTTCATACCATCCCCAGCTTGGCAGAGGACAAAAAAGGTGTCTTCATGCTTCCCTTCTCCTTCCTTCTGCTCTCTTTTGTCATACTTTGTTAGTTCGCAAGTAGTTTGAATGGCTTTCCTATGACTGACATCAATGTGCTTCAAAGATTCATGAGCTGCCAACCTCAAAGAAGAGGCCACGGTTTCCAACCAGTCCATTCTTCTCATTCCTCAAGACGCCCAATGCAATCTGCTCAGCCATTATATATACTGCATGAACTCTGCTGATTCCATATCAAAGATCACTTTCTTCAGACACCATGGCTTTAGGATCGCACTGCTCACTTGTTCTCCCGTTCTTCTGCATCTTCGTTTGCTACGCTGCTGTTGCTCATGGTGTGAGGAAGCAGCTCCCATATGCACTGGTGGTTGGAACCGTCTACTGCGATACTTGCTTTCACCGAGAACTGTCGAAGCCCACCCATTTCATCTCAGGTCACTTCTCTCTCACCTCAACCCGAAAGGCACCCTTTGATCCCATTTTAGATTAAATATGATTTGTTGATTTATATTCTTAATACTTTTTCACGTGGCCGGCCATAAATTGACTCAAACCCAACTCGTGAAACTTCAATTTATTGAAAATATTTTTCTTAATATGTGACCTAAATAGAGTGTTTTATTCTGATGTAATTTTAAAATTGTAGCCAATATCATTTAATTTAAAATTTTAAGTCAAATTTATGTTCTCAATTCTTTTCTGGCAGGCCCTTTGGCAGCAATCATATTTAAATATAAGATCTTATTTTTTTTATGCATATGTTAGATAAAATTTGAATACTTTTTTTTTTTTTCCGTTCTAATATTGCTTTGATTTTTTTTTTATCTATGCCATCCATTTCTGCTAAAATTTTAAATAATTAGTGAGGGATACGATATATTGATCTATTTTAACACTTTTTTGAACGACACGGGCTTTGGTGGCAGTCGAGTGCGGAGATGGTGCGAACAAGTTCAGCTACAGGACGGTGGCGACGACCAACCAGCGGGGAGTGTTTCGAGTCCCGCTGCCACCGAGGATAAGCAAGCACCTCCACCTGATCCAAGCTTGCTCGGTAAAGCTGATGAAGAGCGAAGAGCCATTCTGCGCGGTAGCGTCCTCTGCGACGACCGCCGGCCTCCGCCTCAAGTCGTGGAGCCACGGCGTTCACGTCTATTCCGCTGGCTTCTTCAAATTCAAGCCCCTCGACCAGCCGGAGCTGTGCCACCGGAAGCCGGCGCTCCGAGATCGGAAGATAGACCAACCTGCTCTCTCCTTTCCACTTCCGACCATCAACTTACCATCGTCGCCGCCTGGTGCCGGCGGTGTTCCGCTGCCAACGAACCCATTGTTTCAGCCGCCATCCCTGCTGCCGCCGAACCCACTTCAAACGCCACCGACAGTCCTGCCGCAGTTCCCTCTCCAGCCACCGTCGCCATCGTTCAGCTATCCTCCACTTCCATTTCTCACACCACCGCCACCGCCAGCTTTGCCCTTCCCTGCGACCCCATTCCTTCCATTACCCCGGTTCCCTGGACTCCCACTCGCCTTCTCTTCAAAGAAGGCCTCCCCATGAACGAACTACTATCGCCACGAGTGCTTAGGAATAAAAAAAGAAGCTCTAAGAATTATGCTTTTCTCCTAAGAAAAGCTATTATGTCAACTTTAGCATCCAAAGTAACTCAAAAGATCTTAGAAAATATAATTATCTTTATGCTTGAACGTTGATATTGTCTAATTTGATTCAGTCGAACTAAATAGCTGGAAGTGGACTCAACCCAATTTAATTTGAATTAAGCAAGCCAAGCATCAGGGCCCAACGTCTAGGCCATATATTGTCAGAACTAGAACAGATAGATGTGTTAGAGAGTATTCTACTCATCCCCATCTCATATCCATATGGGTAATGAAAGATATCCTCTATCCTCGTTCCATTAACATAATTTGGATCTCTATTCGTCACCTCCCTTTCTCTCTTCTTTTGTCATTGCAATCACTATTGGATCACTACTGAGATTCGATGACGGGGACGACAAGAGTGACGAAAGCAAAGCCAAAAGTAATTATATCTTTTAGAAAATAAAGAATACCCTATGAGAATAAATAAATAAAAGTACATCAATAAAAAATAAAAATAAGGGATATTTTGATATATATATATATATATATATATATATATATATATAATGGATTGACTTGAAATAACATTATCGTTTTAATTATTTGTGGAAACGTTGACGTTGGACGAGCAATGGTGGGATAGAAGCTGACAGACAAAAAAATAAATGATAACCATCAAATTTGCTATGGCTCAAAGAGATAACTCCCTCGATACTATTGAGGAGCATGTCCGGGAACCAGACGCATGGATGCAGGGCGGCAATGATGCCAGTGAAGGGCATGTCTAGGTATAGCCGGACAAAGATTGACGGTTTGCTCGAGAGGGAGCATGACGCCGTGCTCATTGTACTCTTGAAGGGAAGCCGTCGAAGTCGAGTCGTCCTCGTTTAGGAGCTTGTTAGCTGATGAAGAATGGAGAACGACGCCATCGTTAACAAGGAAGAATCCTGCTTTGTGGTCGGTACAATGTTGGATTTATAGCGTGTGTAAGGATGTAGCAAGAAAGAAGAGAAATATAGAAGGGGAGCAAAAAAATATATCATGATGAATCAAGTCAGATCAAGACAAATCCACGTACAAAGGACTAACATTTCTTATATATCAGAACCAAACCTGTAATATGGAGTTAATTTAATGGTCACTGGATCTCTTGTCGGATCGATTAATTAATTGGTCGAAGTCCGAACTATATAGATAGATCTTAAAAGAGGTGCAAAAATTAAAGAGACATTTTTTTATTTTTCTTGTCCTTTTTTTTCCGCCTATTCTCTGTTCATCTTCTCCTCTCCTTTTTTTTTTTTTTTTTTCCAACTCTGCGTAATCAGATCCAAACAATTATAAAATTGTCCAATAATAGCACTTCAATTATGCACACCAACCATATTCAAAAATTTGTATCTAGAATAATTCTAATTTTATGCTGCATCAATTTGGGAGATAGCAGCATCTTGAATGTAGAATAAGTCCACGTGCACTTTGGGAGAAGTGGAGGTGGAGATCAATTATTAGTTTATTATATTTATGTACTAAGGAGCCCAAAAGGTAGGCGTTTAATTCAATAATTGTATCAAATTAGCTTGCCCTACTAATTAAGCCATGTTATTGATTTAAATCGTTCGTATCAGTAATAAAGTTTTTAGTGTGTTAAACGAACAAGAAGACCATCATCTACCGAAGCTGGTTTACCGATTCCCGCATCATTTATCATATGTTATTTCTACATAGAAAAATATGCGAAATATTATGACTCACCGGATTAAGCTTGAGTTTCTCTTCTTCACGTACTGGACTCCAAATACATCCAAACCGCTTGTACCTGATTCAGGTAGTCTTCAATCCAAATCCAAAGTGAAATTGACTTGGTTAGAAGAATAAGTACCTGAATCGAATTTGAATTTGGATTCCAGTAGTAATCCGCTCGTGCGTCGTCTCTCTCCTCTTTCTTCCCAGAGCGCAACCGTCTCTCATGAAGCTTAATTTTGGTTTCTTTCGAATTAAAATTTGGCAGAGATATTAAGAAACCGACGATTATTATAAGAAATAACAATAAAACGAAATCCACAGCCAACATTTTGACAGCGTTCTCAGCAAAGTTTGAGTTTGAACCCATGCTTGTATGATGCTGTGGACAAGTAAAAATTCCAAGCATAGCGACAAAGCAAAAACCATGGAATCAGATTCTTTCTGCATAATGCATGAGACATTACTGTAAAGTATTATACATCGACGCAATGAACTCTTTAAGATTTGTTAAAATTGGCTGCATTAAAAGTTGAAATAATCTGAACCTGTTAATAGAAGCCCAAATCAAATGTTGGGACATCATCTTCGATAAGGCTCTCGTTTAATGAGTTCTGGCAGTCAAAATTCTCATGTATCATGTGCGTAGCAGCAGATGCATCCGAAATTTCAACCATCCTGCACCTCCCTTCATGTTCATTGTCCTTTGACGATATCTGAACCAGAAAGAGAGACATCATTAATAGTCAGCAAAAAGAAATTACAGATGTCTCATCTTTAATAGAAGTGATAATTTTCCTTTCAAGTTCACAATAGATTGTAGAAGCAATGGAAAGAAATGCTTCTGTTAGTGAGTGTATTAGCAGACAAATAGTTAATTGAAACCAGTAGAAGAGGTTCCAGGATGAGAGTCCCAGACCGAGTGAGTGACTTCATCTTTCCCTTCATTGGCATTTAAAGTGCCATTGCAGCTCCTTCCTATCACAAACTTGATGTCAGTGGCTTGTTCTAGAATAAACATGTCAAAATTAGATGTTTCAAAAGCTAAGCATTCACCAGAAATACTGCTATCAGAAGTGTTATTTTCCTTCAGAAAATTAGCGAAAGGGTCAGCAGTATCTTCTTTTCCATCAGACGGACAAGGCTCTCTGACAGGCAGATTTCCATTCATGAAACCAGCAAGCTCTCTTGAGTCTTGAACATTAGAACAGCATTTGTCTGCCGACATTCCCTGGCTGCTTTCAGACAAAGAGCTATGATCTGATGTATTGTGTCCTTCCACAGAGGCTGTTATAGCCAGAGAATCCACTTTGAACTTGGGTTCTGTATGTATTACTTGCCTGAATTATAATTATGCACGAACAAGTTTTAATAGCCACAGATAGGTATCGGAAGCATATAAACTAAACAGGAAAAACCAGATCATCCTTATGCAATATATGGGAAAGTCTAAATATTCCAATCGGAAGTTATATGATCAAACTACTTCTAAACGTCAGGAACAAAAAAATTCTAGTTTTTCTCTTGGAGTATGCCTTGTATTTGACAAGCCTGAAGATTAATTGATCTAGAAAGCAAGCATAGTAAATTATTTTCATATATCCGGATCCAAACTGATATATTTACACTCTTCATGTACATATACACATATGAGTTTCTTATGAAGCTTGGACATATCATGCAGTCACATATCAACCTTGAGCTTAAGCCCCAAAACACAGGAAACTAGCCAGAATCTTACCCAACTACAGCAGTCCACAACACCACCAGAAGAATTAATATAAAAGAAAGGCACATGTATCCTACTGCAATGAAGATATACATGAAGCTTGTTAGGAACAAAAATTTATCTGTTACTTCCAAGTATTAGTTGGTAAGATAGCAAGACATGTCAGAAAGTGTGAACTTTTTTTTGGTCATATTAAATTTAATGGAAAAGATATGAAATGAAAACTGATGATGAAAAGCAAGTAGTCGCATAACAGCAAATTTGGAACATTTGTATTGAAGGGTAATGTCAGATGCAGGAACGTACTGAGATGAAGTCGATTTTATGTCAGGAGTTCCGGGCAAGGAAGTTTGAGAAGCACATTCACTAAAGTCACCTTTGTGATTGCCACCCCCTTGCAAATTTAGATCCTTGATCTGGCATTGTGCACCCGGCAAAACAAAATCAAGAGATGGTGATGCATTGACATGTGCTACCGGAGAGTTTCTTGGATCATTTTTCTCAATAGGAAATGGCTTCTTAAGAGTGCGAAGAATTTGGCAGGCTGGATAGTGACAGGTAAAAATCATCAAATGGCAAACAGTTACTAGTTAATGAGAATCAATGAGAAACTGAAAAAAAAATGGTTCACGCCATGTAACAAAGACATGTACGGGAAGGAGTTTAAGACAGAATGACGTAGTGATGTTTATAACATATTGAGATGGATGTCATCAAATAAAATGCACTAAGTTACGATGGACAAACCATCACGTAATGGCTTGTTACTTTGTGCCCGGCTAGAATCCATGGACTTGACAGAATTGGAGCTGCAGGGACCTCCTGCTTGTTCCAAGTGGGTGTTGCAAATGTCCTCTGCAAACAAGTTGAGATATGAGCATCTTGCTTACTGGAGATATCATCTAACAGAGAAATTGCTTGTTATCAGGCTCGTACTTGTTGACTTCTTGTTGCTAGAACTGCTAGATCTCATAAGTTGCTTTGATGGTAACTTTTTGAGACCTTCTGCACGCCACATTAACATCAGTCATGCCCTTTTGGCTATGAGAACTAATCATGTTATCTTTCTGCTAATAAGAAAAAACCCATGCAAATACTCCTGCTTAACTTTATATGTTTAAATGCTATCAGCGAAAACTTTGCTCCCTGATGCATACATACTTTGCAAGAAAAAATAGTAGTTAAGATTCCAGATTTGGATGTATGTACCTTCACATCGAATCCGTGGCTCACAAATTTCAACGAGATGGTTGGGTAACTCACATTTGCTCCCAGTTCGAATACATTCAACAGATTTAAGGTACTTGCTACTCAGTACGGAACCATCTTCACTCAGCAACATAATCTGACATAATTTAGGAGTGTAAGAAAATGTCTACAAATAGTCTGGGATTCTAATATTTAATCGAGTGTTTCATATCATTTGAACATGCAGAAAATGAAGCCTTATGAAATATAGCACAACTGTCATAACCTATATTTTATAACCATAAAAAAAGGATGATCTACTACATAAGATTTACACTGATACGATATCCGGAGATAACTAATATATGCGGTCATAACCTTGAAAGCAAAGAGGGTTACTCATACCATCTTAATCACCAGGATCAGAAAGGAAAAAGCCTTACTTACATTTCATCAATAGTTAATATAAAAGTTTCTATTAGTCAAGTAATTCGCTCTGCATTTGCTTGTAGCAGTATGCATACTAATGAACTAGAATCGGACCAGCTGACTGGATAGAAAAAATAAAAAACCAACCCTCAGCCACTTTAGTTCACTAATTAGATTGTTTGAGCCTAAAAAATTCTTCAAATGCTATTAAAGGTATTTGAATTTGATCTAAGACATTTGAGCTTTTTCATTATGAGGATGAGAAAGAAGATAATCCTATTATGTTCATTAGTTTGTCATCCCCTCTACATGCTCCTATATCATTGTCTCTGCCATCCTCTTTGGCCATTATCCTCTTTATTTCTATTATGAAGTTATTGATATAAAACATGATTATATTCTATTTTTTGAAATATTAAAATTGCAATCTGACCATTTGACTTACCTATTCAACCAATTACCTACTGACCCAATACTTTAGACTAGATTGATGTCAGGATTGATTTAGATAACTATAATAGTGTATATAAATCAGAAAAAGTTCCATTATTGGGTTAATATAGTTTTTTCTCAAATGCCTAAGCTATTATACTGAACCTTTGGGTAGTTAATCAGGTGTCCTGCTAAACAAATTGCAGTAGATGCAAAAGCTATGCAAATTCTTTAAAAACAGATTACCAACAAACAGGAGTTTAGGATATTCGCTAACCTGATTCATATGTGATCCACATAATGAAAGTCGCAATACTCCATCATGATACTTTTTTGCCTTTTGAGATATTTGAGTGGTGTACAAAACATTCCACTCTACGTAAGAGGAAAGAAACCATGAGTACAACATTTTTGTGAGCGGTAATCACAACTTTTTTCAGTCCTTGCAACATTTGAAATGATTGCAAAGTGGAAACTTTCTATTAACTACAAAAGTCTCAATTAGGGGAAAAAACTCTTGTGATCCATAAAAAAAACATGCATTAAATATTAGAATACAGAAATGAAAGAATATTTCTTCTGTAGAAATACACAATAAAATATGTATTTCTATTCCAAAGTCAACTAGTTTAGTTAGGCATAAAACATTGGATAAAATGCATATATCACCTATGTAAGATCTTAAGAAAATGAAACATTTAAATGCAGGAAGAATCATGACAGGATTAGAGATGGACTCTTGAGTACAACTGGATCATATGCTGTTAAAAATGAATTCCTAAGAACTCACCACTAGTAGCATGCCTGTAGTAATATGTACTGGCATGAATAGCTAGCACGATGTAGCATCTTGCTGGACTGTAACAGCACAACCATAGAGAATACTCTGAGAGCTTATTTAATTTCAAGTGCCATTTAACACTAGAGTGCATGCATGCAAATATATCTCTTTTTTCGAAAACAAACATGAAAAGATTTACTAGATAAATCAGATAGAGAACATAAAGTGCAAGAGAAAAACTGGTAACAGTACATAACTATTTTTGTGGCATAATTAACAACTACCAACAAAAGAAAACTATCAAACCAACCTTTTGGATCACTGTGGGTAACATCATGAGTTTCTTTTGCCCCCAAGCTATCAGGTTCGTTCTTGTTCACTAGATGGGAAAACAAAAATACATGATAACTTATTATCAACATGTACCAGAGACATAAGTGAATATAGCATTAGCAATAATACACATGATAGAATTGAGTTATTATTAACCTCTTGATGGAAAAAACAGTGAAACATGAGAGAAAAGAAGTATTAGAGGTTAACACAGAAAGCACTGCATGCCTGGATTTTGTCTACCACAATACGTATACTACTAAAGTCCAACCATTTATGCTGTTTTTTACAGCATTCAAACAGTCTTGCAGTGATCTGCTTCTGAAAATGCTTTTCTTGTTCTTGGAGGATAAAGGCACTTATTGCGAGGCAGAGATCAATTTTAGACAGCAGTCACCTATTAACCAAATAGAAAAATCAGAAATGGGAAAAAATCTAACCTCTGCTTTTGCTGTTTGCCCCACTTAGATATTTCGGTTCCAGTTTATTGTGATGCATGCTTTTCTCATTCTCTGCATGAAAGCTACCATAGCTGAGCTAAACTTTTTTTGCAATAAACTGGGGTTTCACATAATGATGTAAAGTTCACATATTGAAGATAAATAGAAGATTGAAGGTAAGTACTCTTCTGTTGCAGATTCTGAGTAATGAAGTAAAGTTCACACATCGAAGATAAAACGAAGTTAGGAGTTGAATATAAGTACCCTTCTGCTGCAGATTCCGAGCCTTTTCACTTAACTTTGAGTCATTTCTACTGGAATTTAGATTTTTGAAAGGCCCTTTTTCTTCGAGGTTTCCAATGTCAACAAGATGAGCTTCAAAGGTCAGAGTTCCACCACTTCCAATTACTTCATCTTTCTTCAAGAATCTACTATCTATGAGCTTTTCGCTATCATCATACAACAAAACCTGATTTTACAAATGTACAAGCCAGTAAAGAAACGTAGGACTGAATATGACAATCATTGACTTGACAACTACAGACTCATTTGCAAAGAAACAAATCATAGGCATGATTGTTGAGGCAACAATCTATAAGCATGATCATAACCGAAGGATGGTGCATTCCTATGTACCATAGTAAGACAACAGGTGACGCTGATAAGATAACAAGGTTTGCAGCATTGGGACCACTCATGTGACTTGGATCAATAAAGGCCTAATCAGATTCTTGGATCAGCCAAAATAAATCTAAAAATCAATAGAAAAGGGCATAAAAGGGGAAGAAACATATAGCTGTCATATTGTGAGGTTGTCACATGTTATGTAAGCTCTAACTTGTAAAAGATAGGCATGTAATTTATAGCCTGCAGGGACCAAAAGAGGGTTTTAGACTCTCTCTAAAACCATCCCAATCTCTCAAGGTTTACAGAGTGAACCAATAAGTGACATAAGACAATCAGATCAAAGGGTTTTTGCCCTCTCCACTTCTCTGCCTTTCTTCTTTCTCTCTTCTTCCTTCCCTTTCCTTCAATTTCTCATCTTCTTTCTCTCCTATCTAAAGCTAGTTTATGCAAACAAAAACTACCCGTAACAAATCAAATCGGCCAACTTCTGACAATCCATGTCACTACACAATTTCTGTTGAGATTGATCGATCTCGAATAAAGGCAGACAACCAACAACTTTTTAAGCTGAATTTTCATCAAATTCTGACAGAGGCATCAATAGTGGAAGTTACCCCAAGAGCCTTCGCCAATAAAATTGATCGAACTAGGTTCTGCCCTGGTCAATCCACCAAATTATGTCATAATAGGCAGTCAAGTGTATAAAGCTCCTCCCACTACATGATTTATATTTTATGGAGATTAAAAGTAACCTCCCATATGTCAAAAGGTTATTTCACTTATTCAAAATCAAACAATCTCGCTGCTTTGCTAGGGACTAACATAGGATTTATGACGTTAGAAGAAGTCTGATTCCAGCCATTAAGCAAAAATGACAAATTGTACAATTGACCACCATGAGTGACAACTAAAGTCACCAGTGATGCCCTAAAACCAATGACATATTGAGATTATAATAATTACATCAAACTTTATATTCAAAGAAAAAAAGTAAAGATAATCTAACATAAATCAGATTGAGAGGCTTGCTAAAAACAATCATAAAGCCAGAACTTCTAAAGCCGGATGGAAACAGAAAAAAGAAAAGAATAGTTTGATGAAATGGTGATTGTTGGAAAAAGGAATTTTGGTGTGTTGACAATTAGCACTTTGGTCAACAAAATTGTGCAAAGTAAAGGTGCTGCCTTGGTTAAAATACATTTCACTGTTATGAAAAAACAGAATGCTTCACATGCGTTTCCAGTGAGCATGCTTGAAGTGGCTACTCCTGATAATCTACTGATTCATTCAGCAAGGGAATTACCTACTGCTTGCTGGAACAACATTTTCCATATGACAACTAAGACAATATTTATCTAAGAATCATACATAAAAACTATAGGAGATAGATTGCACCAAAAATGTTTGTCGTGGAGAAAATTCAAGGGAGATAATGTACCTTGTTTCCTGGATCACTAATCTCTAGTACACCATCGTGATAGGTTTTTCTCTTCTGCTTCAAGTGCTTTGTGTATGTAACAACCCATCTCCCTGTGCAAGTCATGTTACCGCGCAAGTGCCCTGGTCAAGTCGATTCACCTTTGTAGAATAGCCTGATTGACCTACAAAGGAAGGCAAGTAGACAGATAAGAACCACAAAGAGGGAGTAAAAGATATTGGTAAATAGGATTTGAAGAAAGAGGATTCGACTTCAAGAAGTTCCTGCATATGGCCTAACGCCAGGACATGTAGTTACCTTCGCCTTTGTTAAAGACACAAAAACCTATAGAGAACATCTCCATGCTCCTGTCCTCAATAGAGAAAAAAGATTATTTCCAAAAAGAACCAAACCCTAGAACTGATTGCAGAAAATAATTCACAGTGTTCTGCTGATTACACGCCATAATACCACCATGCGTTCCTACACTCATCGTGGATTGCCGGATATCAAATCAAGAAAGCTAGGGCTAGGGCTGGTGATCGATGGAATCATCAGGGAATCTTGGATACCCACCTATTCGGGAATGCCTCGCTGATCAGAACTCGAACCCGTGCACCGCAAGGGAAGAAAGCGCGATCAACCGAATGAAGAAGAGTGAGGACAAAGAGGAACGATCGAAGTCGTTCGTCAGGTGGAAGCGAGATGAGGCATAGATTACCTGCCAACCAGGGTTCTGTCGCAGCTGATTGGGGCGATCGCGTCGTGCTAATTCGTGGACGACGATCGCCGGTCGTCGCCGGCGCCGACAGGAGGAGAGGCGTCGGTGGGAGAACCGAAGACTCGAGAGAGCTACGAGATCGCCCATCGCTCCATGGCGCGTTCTTTTGAAACTGCCGCCTACGCAGGTTTTTTGTTAATTTCGCATCATTTGCCGATACGTTAAAGAAAACTGTTACGACATCATAACGGGAACAACGTAATGTTTTTAAATTAAAATTCTAAAATTATAACTTTAATATTATATTATATTATTATTATAGATAATATTATATTATATTATATTATATTATATTATATTTTATTATTATAATAGATTTTGATTAGGGTTGGAAGCCCATCTGAGGCTACAAGTATAATGACAAATAGATAGTAGACTCAACACCTATAAAAACTATATCCAATAAAGATCTCTCAAATACTTCAATTTATAAATTTGTAAAGAAGTCGAGGGATAATATTATACACTAAAGTAGTCTTAGGGAAGTCTTTTGATAACCATTTGAATTAAATGATGAGCTAATCATTAATTAATATAGTAATCATAGCATATAGGCTTGTGTTAATGAAGTAAGAAAGTCTAAGGTTTGCTACAGTTATCGCACGTAGGTTTGTGCTAATTGCTATACATCAGCTGCTATATCGACATGACTAGGCAGGCGTCTAAGGTAGCATCCAATTGCATCAACCTTGAGGGTTCCATTGCCCACAAACACAGCATAGCATGGCATCATGCCGAAATCAATCACTTACCACCACTTGTGCATGCAAACATACACGATTAAAACACCGATGAGTGATGACCACCGTATAATCTCTAGGAAGTGACACATAAGATGGTGAAAATGAGAGTATTGCTCCTTTTTGTTTCTGACATTAATACTTAGGTTCTTCTCAAGCACAACATCTCACTGGAAGAACTACTTACAAGCACAAGTTAACATGTCTCCATATCTGGGGGCAGCCAAACTAACAAAGAAAAAAGTCACAATAATGGATTTGAAGATCTAGTAGTTGTACATTAAGCGGATCGATGAACAAGATGGGACGCTAGTCCACTAAGGCCCTTTGGCGAAGAGGCTTGAGGCTTCCATCTATGGATTACCACCATTTCCTGACTTTCCTCTCCTGGGTTCATGTCTGGAGTTGTGTCCTCCATAGTCGTAATCTAGTATAACCTCTACCAAAACCTTTCTTGTTTGCACCTAGCAATAGTGACAAAAAAGAAAGTGAATTGCAAAACAGGAACTCGAGTCCGAATCTGATTAAAGAAACATGCATGAGACAACAGGTCATGGCAAACATGGGGCAAAACTAAACCATAAATTCCGACATAATTTCTGAAGGCTGTTTACATGTCCAGCATGTTTCCAATGAGCTCTAATGTCAACACTGATGATTATATGCTTGAAGATATTTAGCATAAACAAAGAAACTCATACGGAATCATGTTAAACTTTCTCATATCGACAGTTATAGCTTCAGGGCAAGGAATGTCTGCATTACAGATGGAGCAAACAAGCCATAGCAAAGAGGAGATTTGGCGGTTCATAATGTGACTGTGCCACAGATCATGAGTTCAAGATTCACAATTGAAGCAGTAAAAACATTAGAAACAACAATGCCTCCAGAAGAATTATGCCAAAAAAATGCATCACACTTCTACATTTATTCATTCGTGGATACCTTGGACACCAGATCTGAGGCCTTCATTGGCTCAGTTCCATCCTCAGTGATGTCAGCCTGGCCTGCAAACACAAACAACTAGTTGGTCACTCAAAAAACAATGATATGAATTATGAAGATGGTGTGACATGAAGGAAGGTGCCAACCTAAAGATGTCGCCAAGAGAAGAACTAGCAAAATATTGGTGAGGAAGGGTCGGATCCTCAGCATCGTTGGTAGTGCTGCTGCTGTTCTGAAGAGGAGGATTGTGCGAGCTTTGGGAGGCCAAGGCTTCTTTTATGGTTGTGCAATGGCAGCTGGAAAAGCCTTAGAGGTGTGTGGTACGGTTCACTGTTCATGATAACTTTGCAGACTGATGATGAAATCCATATCAGCCCACCAGGTTTAAGTCAACTGCACTAACTTCAGAATCTAACATACCTATTTCCACCAAAAAGATCAGTGATATGATGGTAAAAAGAAAAAGGTCTTCTGCTTGGCTCCAACTCCACCTCTATTAACCTTGCCGATAAATATTTCTGCTTAAAGGCCCCTTCAAAGATTCATTAATAGATCAGGTCATTTCCAAGCTCCAGAAACAAAAGAACTCGGTCGCAGAAGATATTCGCCATCACGAAAAGCAGTTCTCTATCCACATTTTGTGGTGTCAACTGAAATTAGACAGACAATAGAGTTCACAAAGTAGGCTATTAATAAGACCAGTATCAAAAGCACTTCATGAAGGAGCATCAACAACACAAGTAATGTTTAGCACAACTGCAGAAGACCTTCACTTTATCTAAAAAATAGGCTTCATATGGATTGATTGTCTTCATAAAACTTGCTCTTTTCTCTTTAATTAGAACAAATTAGTGCATCTCTAATTGTTACACAAGATTTATTAAAAACATTTTCTGAAGCATAGACTGATTCATATAATGAAACTAGTAGCTACAGTGCATCTTCCACCGATATCTTGTCATTCAGGATACAAAGAGCTTAGCAAACAGCTGTTAGAAAGGAAAATTTATCAATTACATCACATAATATGCATGTGCATCCAAATGACAATTAAAAGTAATAAGAGATATTTTGGTTTCTGAAAATGAAGTTAGTCTAGAACAATCTGTGAAGGCCAACTTACACTGAGCCATACAAAGTGGACCAACCATTGCCGAAAAGGCCAAATGTGTGGCTGAAAAAATGTGGTGCCAAATCACTGGATGGTTCCTTCGGTGGTGCTGCATGCTGTTTCATATTTTCTTTATATTGCTTTCTGTGTGATTTCTGTATAGTGCACCTATGATGATCATAGTTCTTCAATAGTTTGGGTGCACAAGCTGTTTCAGCATAAGGAGAAAAAAGAAGACCACTCCCATCCACCATGACTGTTGTTTCAAGTTGATACCAAGAAATGGGTGGTGACTTTGATATTACTGGGTTGCCACATTCCAGTAGTTGACCAGTTATCTACCTCTCTTGCTTTATTGCCATGCCATAGAACAGTCATCTTCTCTGCTCTCTTAAATTTTGCACAGAAACCTGTACATTCTGGAAATGAAGAATTCGGTGATGACTCTTCTAGCTGGTACATTTGATGGGGTTTCACTTTCTTTTCCAGCACCATCTGAAACTCTCACTTGTTCAAATGATCTGAAAAGAAGACTTTATATCAGCAGATCAATTTACAAGCACAGTTCTCATTTAGGACAAGTCTGAGTGTCTGAGGAAGAACAGGAGAGATAAATACATGAATGTATAAGCAGTTTCCCTACAATGCAAAGAAGCCATTAAAATAATAGACCAATTCAAGAATTTGCATAAACAATTTCCTACAGACAGGATAAGAAAAAGGGATTGAAATAAAAGAAAGAAAGGCCAGGGTAAATAATGTGCTGACCACTGAGACCAACAAGGAGCCACTACTGAAACGCCTGGGTGGATTAATCACAGGATACAAGAGAGTAGAACAAGGTTACTAGTGGTGTATCTTATTTATTATTATATTGTGATGAATTAGAGGTATACCTATTGATTCAGTATAATAAGCACAACTAAGAACCACCACCTTAAGCTTTCAGAAAATCCCATCAAAAAAGAAATGAAAATTAACAACTGCAGGAGAGGATTTGAAGTCTTATTTCATAACCAATCATCTACCGTTTACAAAGAGATTACTAATAAATAGATGTATCTACAAAGCCTCCATATATATAAACATATATCAAATACATGCTCCAAGATATTTCGAAGGAGAAAAAAAACAAAAACAATCAAAGAAAGTATAAAAAAAGAAAATACATTGACGAAGATACCTGTTAAAATCTTCATATGCCAACATTGGCGAAGTTTAGAAGACTTGGACATAATTTTTGTCACGACCCAGCTTGATGAGATAATTTGCCTATTAACCTCGTTAAGCCCAAACACTCGCTAAAATACATAAACTGAAGTTTATAATAGTATATTCATCACACCCTTATAGGCTAATCCTAGTCTTAGCTCACTTTTGATGTGAGAACTAATCTGGGCATTATAATCTCCCTCACTTAAGGGTTTTACGTTGTCATCAAGGCTCAGCATAACTCAGATCAAACCTTAGCATGGTACATATAAGATATAGCCCAATGATGGCTCCACATCATGACGAGTCCTCTGACTCCGTCTTCGAATAGTTCTTTCCTACTCAAACCCCTCGCCATGCTCCAATACCAAGTTGCCTCTAATACCAATAGTCACGACCGATGAATATTGAATAACTAGTCTATTAACTTCATTAAGTCTAAGTCACTGGCCCAAAATGTTAAAGCTGAAGTTAATAATTAGTAAACTCATCAGACCAAGTCAATCTTAGTCTTAGCCCACTTCCGCTAGGAAACTAATCGAGGTGTTATAATTTTTGTACTGGACTCAACATGCATGTAAAATTATTAAAAGTGAATTTGCATTTGAGATAGCCTTTCTCCCTGAAGTTAATAATTCAGCATTCAGCATCAGACTTCATTTAGCATGTACCTAAATTGATACAATCAGGGATGTTATATACAAGCAGATTGTTCCATGGATGCAACATTTATAAAATGGGAAAGTGACAACATATTAGGTTACAGTTTACCTAGCAATCATTGTTTTGAGCTAGAAACTAATATTGATTACTAGCTATCAAATTTTGTGCTTTAGCAGTTCTGCTTCTACCAAGCAATCATGGCCCTGTAAGTCATTTTGCTTCTCCCTCCTGTCTGATGAATGCTTTGTGCTTCAAATGTTTCATGGAGTTCCATCACGAAGAGGGGGACCAACCAGCCTCATAAGCAGCAGCCCTCAAGGGGGATTTTTCAGCATCCTATATAACAGCCTCTTTGAAAGGAGACGATTGGAACGCAGCACCAACATCCTCGTAGCCTTGATCAATGAAGTACAAAGTTCCACAGGCTTTTTCAGCAACATTTAGAACATGTTGCAAGCTCATTGAGGATCTTCTGACAATTCTCGGGCGTAAAAATGTGTTTCTGTAGTGGAGCCATGAAGTAACCCAAAAATTATACCAATCGTCATACAGTAGTGCCTTCTACATGGTTGTTCGGGTCTTTCGTCAATGCATTAGCATAACGTTTAGTGTAACAGTGACAGTGGTTGTGTGCTTGTCTGGGATGGACCTCCAAAGGTGATCTAATTGCATAAGTTGCTGCATCTCTTTGGCCTCCAATCTGGTTTTGCTACATTTTCCTTGCCAAAAGGCATCATAAGAAGGGAGTATAATATATCCAACTGTCCATGCAACCAATCCCAAGCATGTCCCAAGTAAGGTTGCTTCACAAATAACTCTCATGATATAGTCTCTCTTTCCATGCCATTTGAGAAATCCACTTGTGCAAAAACTAGTACACCGTATAATGCTTGCTTAGCAGCCAGCCAGACATCAGCACTCCACTTGGAAGAATTGATGCCCTAGACAACTTAAGTATCTATTCATTTGGTCTGGAACAATAACTTGCAGAGTCTTCCTCACATGAGTAACCCAGGATTTCTAATGTGGCTTGCCTAACATGAGGCTTCCTAGTTCAGACCACTGATCTTGAGGTAGCTCAATACCTGCAATCTTAGCAATGACTTGTGATGGAGTGGACCTAGCATCAACATGTTCAAAGATGGCTATCTCTAAAGATAGCCATCTTTGAACAAGTTCATTTTTCCTGTGTTACTATTTTGCATCCAAGGCATTTTAAGAACCAAAGCAGCCAACTGACGGCCATCAACAGGTTTCTCATTGTTTACCAACTCACTAGAAATTGACAGCAAGATAGCAGAAAGTTTTGTTCCTTCAACTGTTTGAAACTTTATTCTACATGTTTTTCAAATAGTGGCAACCACTGGCTGTGCACTAAGGAGGATCTAGGTCATTTCCACTGTCATCTTCTACTCTGAAAGGAAAGACAAAAATTATAATAATTTGAAAAAAAGAATTATGTTTTGCATGCAAATGAATGTTGTAGAAGTATATTAATGGATCCAGGACAAAAGTGGCATCATGCTGAGGAACCCTTCACGTAACAGCCTTTGCTTAAAAGTGCCAGAGGAAAAACAAAATTTCATGTTCGGTGATGAACGTATTGCATAAAATACTCCATCTAGTAAGTTCGCACATAGACAAATGAAGAATAGATGCACAAATTACACATACAGTAATGAAATTAAAGTACACTAGCCTCTTAATGTTTATATGTATAAGAACTTCTCTGTTAAAGCATATTAGGATGCATACTGGATTTTCCTTCAAAACATTTGAATCATAATAAGCCCCGGTCCAAGGAACTTCAAATAGTCAATTCCACTGCTATCAAAATAGTTAATCAAATAAAATGATATCATAAACCACATAGTAACTTTTAGATAAAATGAAGAGATCCTCCACCTCAATCTGCTATCATATCCATAAATCAAGAATAGAGGCTTCCGACAGAACACGTCACCAACTGTCAGTATCAATCCTAACGTTAAGGCTGAGATCAGTCATAAGATCCGTGTAAAAGTAGGTGGATAAGCAGTTTTACAATTCACATCAATTTTTCTTAGAAGTGATCCATTGCTCCTATCGTTTCCAGTCACAGACAACAATAACTTCAGATCCCATAGAAGCATTGTCAGTAAAACCTAGAACCAAATTAATACTATCCATCAAACCAAACAAATTTCTAGCCTCATTCCTAGAATCACATGAAACGGGCTTGAAATACTCGGTAACACCAGATTTACTGATAAATACGTGGATTGATAACCCTAGCCCATGGAAGCGACGGAGAAATTATCTATCTAGAACACGAAGACACAGAATTAGCGAAATTTCCATATCCCTCGCATCGAAATCGTGACTGGTAATCGCGAAACCCTAGAAGCCAAAGAGGGAGAGTGGGAAGTGGGAGACCGGAGGCTGGAATTGGGGTGCACTTCAACCATGTATATATATCGCTTTCTTCGAATATATAGCCACAACTCTTCTTTTTAGGCGACTCCACCCTCTATTCTCACGGATTCGTCCGGTGTTCTGCCCGTTACCTATCGTTAATGAGTCGACTTATCACCAAAGATGGTGTGAAATTATCAACGCCGTGGTATTATAAATGCAGATTTATTATAACAATCATGAGATTACTGTAATTAATCCTTTTTTCTTTCTCTTTTGTAGTGTTATTGCACGACATCTTCATGTAGTCCTGGAAACCTACATCCGGATCCTTTGAGTGGAACAAAGATGTGGGTCCCGCACTTTAGTAAAGAGGGTGCAGAGATGGGTGCCGTTGAGTGGGACAAAGATATGGGTCCCGCTCTTTAGTAAAGAGGGTGCAGAGATGGGTGCCATTTGAGTGGGACAAAGATGTGGGTCCCGCACTTTAGTAAAGAGGGTGCAGAGATGGGTGCCGTTGAGTGGGACAAAGATATGGGTCCCGCTCTTTAGCAAAGAGGGTGCGAAGATGGGGTGCGTTTTAGTGGAACAAAGATATGGGTCCCGCTCTATAGTAAAGAGGATGAAGATATGGGTCCCGATCTGTAGTAAAGATGGTGCAGACGTCGGTGCCTTTGAGTTGAACAATGATATGGATCCCGCTCTTTAGTTCAGAGGGTGCAGGTTGGGTGCGAACAATTTGGATTCTCGTTTTTTCCCGTTCGTCGGAGGGTTTAAAGGGGATTGAGCGGGTCGGATCTTTTTGACGGGATCCGAACCCGAGCATGCCCATATATTGTCTCAAACCATACTATTTGTCTATTATAGTAATATTATGTATAAAATTATTTTAATAGTATTTTTATTTAACACTTGAATCTAAATTTTGATGCCACTTGCATGTTCTAAGGTTGAGAAAAAAGGGGATCCAGCATAATGCATGGACACCATATATATATATATTTATATATATATATATATATATATATATATATATATATATATATATATGGAAAGTGTTTTAATGTATGGACATATCGAATATATTTTTTTCGTATTAGGTTATTAGCTCAGTAAGCAACTTGGTAGTTTATACGGTCTTAATATCAAGGTGCAAGGCAAAAATACATAAATTCATAGTTATCATTTTATTAAATATAAATATTATTTTTATTAAAATATTATTTTATTTATAATAATAAAATAAATAGTATTTAGGAGTATATCAATGACATAAGAAACATTTATGCACATATCAATGATGTAAGAAATATTTAAGTATATATCAATGGCGTAAGAAATGTTTAGGCATATATCAATGACATAAGAAATATTTAGGAATATATCAATGGTATAAGAAACTTTTAGTAATATTATGAAATATATGAAATATTTAGAAGTATATCAATGACATATAAAATATTTAAGCAAATATCAAGAGAACAAATGAGAGGCATAAGCTCAAGTATCATATTTGATATTGTATTCATTTCATTATTATCCAAAAAAATATATAGAAATTTTCGTATGAGCAATACTTTAGATAACATATCAAAAAATTATAAATTGTAAAGTAATATCATAATATACTACGCTCATCAAAATAAGTCTAAATGACCATTTCTAAATGAATATTAAAATAAGTTTTTTCCATTTATATTATCCTACAAATACCAAAGTATGAAAGAATATTGTAAGTAATAAATTTAGCATGTATAGGAAGAATATGTGAAACAACAAAAACATACATATGAAATTATGAAATAATATGAGGCAATATAAAATTTTACATAATATATTCAAATATGATAAGAATTAATAATAAGAGATATAAGAGATTAAAGCAATCATATAAAGCTCAAAAAATTCTAGATGAATTTAAATTCAAAAAGATGGAATAAAAATATAAAAATGATAAAAAAAATCTATTTTGACATAATCTATAAGGCACATTTCATAAATCATTTGAATAACCAATTATACTCTAATTTACTCGTAAAGGATATTATTTAAAAGATATCAGTCAACCTTTAAATGAATTAAGTTTTATAAAAACTAAAGTTTTCAACTACAAGTTACAAGTAATTTAGTACCGAAAAGTAAGAATTATTATCTCTATTTTATAGAATTTATAGGGTCAAATAAAATAAATGTTTGGGTAAGTAATTGAACTCTAAATCCTTTAAGTAAGGTATAAAAAGAAAGATATATAAGTTTAGTTTGAGAATTAAGTCTTATCCAATTCAAAATTTAATATAAAATTTTATAGCTAAAATAAGATAGGACGGTCAGAATCTCAAAAAATTTTAAATTCATAATTTTAGAGCTCAAAGAGGTTCATATCATTTGCAAAGATAAACTCCTTAAAAGTACTCATAATTAAATAAAATTAGAGATTAAAATTAATATAGAAATATATTAGAACACTTGTGTTAGAACGACTTGATCCCAAATAAAAGAAATTGATAAAAAAAAAACAAATAGGTTTAACAAGAAAGATTAATTGGTCCAATTCGAACAATTTTACAATACCAAAAGAATTCCCAAGAAATGATTTAATAGTCATTGATAGGGTAGTTTTGTTGTTTTGAGTGTGACAAATACTCTTAATATTTAGAGTTTCATTATATTTATATTTATGAAACTCTATATATTTATGAGTGCAAATTCCAAAAAGAAAAATCAACTTTTGAGCTTTTATTTGGGAATGTCTCATATTTCTAAAATTTTTTAATAATATTTTTTTACATAATACCTATAATAATCTTGATTTGGTAGTTATTCACTTATCCTTTTTTTTTCTTTCTTTTTTTATATGGATCGATACATATAGTATACTGGTCTAGTTATAATATTTTCA